CGGTCGGGCCTTCCCCTCCCGTCCCCTCAGCGGGGCGCCCCATTGCCCCGCCTCACCCACCCTCCCGTTTCTCCTCCCAGGAGGCAGCAGTACGTGGGGAAGCTTAAGTTCGCGTCTTTGGAGGCCTCGCAGGGCTCGAAGAAACTCATCGTGGCCACTGAGAAGAACGTCGTGGCCGCTCTGAATTCCAGGAGTGGCGAAATCCGTGAGTGAGGCGGGGGTTTGTTGTGGGGAATAAGCCTGTTATGCTGGGGCTAACATGTCAGTCAAGTCACACTACGTTTTCATACTGATAAATGAATGCTGGTGATATCGTTTTGTCAGACTGAGAGGATTCAGCCGGTAGTTAAAAGCTGTTGCTTAGGGCAGGCAGACTGTCCTCTGCATAAACATATTGCCATAAAGAGCCTAGGTTTAAAAATTAAACTGAAGGCCCTTGGGGGAGCAAATCTTGTTCTCATTTAACTCTGTTTCTTCCAGTGTGGCGCCATGTAGACAAGGGAACCCCCGAAGGAGCAATAGATGCAATGCTGATCCACGGGCAGGGTAAGGAGAACATGCAGACGGTGTGCTGGGGCCAGCAGTTGGCCTTGTACGTGGGATCTCAACCACACATTAGACCACGAGTTGAACTTGCCAGAACTTGTTGCTTTGTTGATCTGCAGTGGGATGCAAGTTCTGTGTTCATCTCCTTTTCTTAATTTCCTGGGTAGATGCCATCACTGTGTCCAATGCTGGGCGCATTCTGCGTTCCTGGGAGACCAACATTGGGGGATTGAACTGGGAGACGTCCCTGGACACTGGCAGGTAGGCTTTCCTCTTTGCACTGTTTCCTTCCCTTTGCAGTGCTGGTCGAGGAAGGAAGAAAGGGGATGGTCACCTTGTTTGGGCTTGCATTATAGGGAAAAATCAGCTAGACGTAAGGTTTCTGAAATAACATTTAGCTCAGTTCCTAAGGAATGCCTGAACCTTGCAGCTAAATCTATCACAGTATCTATTTCTTAGCAAACTAGTAAGAGGAAGAGATACAATTTTATTTCACAGATGGATTTGCTCTTTAAATATACCTAATGTTCAACCTGCGTCTGGTTTTGGGTGTTTGGATTCCAGCCTAATGCTCTCTGTTGAGATCAGCAAGGATAGATAAAGTGGGCTATAAATTATACTTTAAGATCAATATTAAATGTTTGAAGAAGGTCTTCGGAGGGGTTTGGTTTTTTTTTTTTCCCTAAAAGAAATTAACTTTGTAACTTACTGTCTCTGACCTCTGCTTAGTTTCCAGGTGGCTCGTTTGGTGGGGCTACAGGATGTGGTGAAATACGTGGCTGTGCTCAAGAAGGCAGCCATCTCTCTTCACTACCTTTCCAACGGGCACCAGAAATGGGTAGAACACTTACCAGAAAGGTAAGAATGTATTTTAAGTAGTAGAGTAAACTTCTGACAGGGAGGCTGTTGCCTTGGAGAGGAAAGGATGCCTTATGCTTTTGAAAACATCTGGAAACAGTAATGTGAGAAGCCGATGCTTCATGGTTGCTGCTTCTCTTGCAGTGAGAGTACTCAGTACCAGTTGTTGTATTCCCGTGGGACCGGAGTGATCCAGGTGCTTGGAATCGTTCCCCAGAGCCACTTGAACATTTTAACATTCAGTGTAGAAGATGGAGAAATTACAAAACAGGTAGTGCTCGATTATGGATCCGAAATACTGAATTTGATGTTCACAAATGTACTTCTAACTAGGTGGGCTGTGGTGTGCAGAGCAATTAATTCTTGTTATAGTACAGATAAATTTCCTTTTCACTGTGGCATTATCTGCCACCCAATAAATGGATTGTACTGCTGAATGCCCTGAAAGCAAAACTTAATAAGGCTTGCAGCTGTTAATCAAGACCATCCTGGAAATCTCAGGCTGATATATAGTTTCTCCCAGGGTCATGGGTAAAAATAATTCTGACTTAAATTTTTGGTTGTGTTCAAGTTGGTTCTTTGAAGATGTTGTTCTGTTGACAACTTCACCTCTTTGTGTATGTCTCGCTTGGCAGATCAGAGTAGCAGCCCCGTGGCTGAAGAGCTTAAATGGCGTGTGCAGCGTGGTGGGGGAGGCAGTGCTGGTGTGTGTGGACATGGACATGCATTCGCTCTATGTTTGCTCCTTGGAGACAGAGCAGGAGATGAAGCAGATCCCACTGCAGGTGAGAAGTGCTGAAAGAGCTGTGTATATAATTCGTTGTCCAACTGGTTTGGTGCCTGAATCAGTTTTGCAGCATGGGGGTTCTGTTGGTAAACTACAGCATGACTGAGGAGGTGTGCGAAGAAGCATGGCCCATAAATTGAGGGAAGGGAGAGAAAACTATATATTGTGTCTGTCTAATCATTCCTTTTGGATTGATGTCTTCACAGTTTGCTCCATTGGGAGCCTAGTTCTCCTTGCTTCTGCTGTACATTTACTCTGACATGAGGAACTTCTTCATAAAGCTTATGTTACTGCTAATAGAAGGAAGGGATTTGTTTCAGTGAAGAAAAAGCTCTCACGAACACGTATGTTTTTCTCCTTTTCACAGTCACTTGACCTGGAGTTTGCTGATGACTTCCAGCCCAGGATATTGGCCACTCAGCCCAATGTAATCAGTGCTTCGCGGACTCAGTTCTTCCTGCAGCTGTCTCCAAGCCACTTCTCTTTGCTGCAGTACAAACACGGGCTGCTCAGCCACCTTCGGGATTTCCAGCAGGTAACCAAGATAAATGTACTCAAGCGAGAGAGCCAAGTACAGCTTCAAATTCTTTAAAATGAACAAATACCCTTGTGCTAAGCATTCTGAACAAACTGCTGAGCTTCTCATTTCAGTTGTGCTCTTGGCTGCAAGACTTGAAAACCATTAATAATTTGATTTAATTTATACTGGCTGCTGAAATATTCCAGACATCAGTGTAGGAATGCTTTGTTGCCGACAGCTGTCAGTGTCAGGGTAGTTTCCTGGTTTTGAGGTAGATAAAGAGATGCATGTGTCTAAGTGGTCAGTGGTGCAGCAGTGCTTTTGTTAGGCCAGTTGAGAGGTTTTGAAAAGCAAAAAGCTCAGTAACACTGGATATCATGGCCTAAAAACCTGTGGCAGGTCAACCGTTTCCATCTTTGAGAACTATTTTCAGTTTTATAAGAGAGAATTATTTTTTTTTTGTTTGGTGAAACAATGAAATTTAAAATTTGGCTGTGAAATATCATCTGGTTTTAATTCCGGTATGGCCTCATTTGCTACACAGGTAGGTTTTGGTGGCATTTGGGGATTTTCTTCTTCATTTTATGATTTCCTTCTATTTTTTTCCTTTTCAGGCAGCTCTGGTGAGTTTTGCAACAACTGGGGAGAAAACTGTGGCTGCTGTCCTGACCTGCAGGAGTGAGCTGGTTAGTACAATTTGCCTGTACTAGGTAACCAGCACGACTCTAGCGTACACTGAGGGTGGGTTCCACAAGCATTTTCCTTCTCAGGCCCAGGGATGGGTGGTAACTTGAGGAAAAGAAAGATTTAATTAGCTTCTCAGACATACGAAGACCATGGTAATGCAAGCAGATCTTGGTTACATCCAGCTAAGGTTATCTCTGGCTGGATGAAGCATGCTGTCCTGTGTGCAGCTGTGTGTAAGGGCACGTAACGTAGGAATCAACTTTACTGATCTATAGAAGACTTCAGTTCTTAGGGATACCAAACTTAGCAAGGTTTCATTTTTATCAGAAATAGAATAGAACTGTTTCCTGCCTGTTTTTAGCGTCAAGCTGAGGCTTATCAGGGACTCAAAACCTGTTTGTTTTTGGGTTTGGTTTTTTTTATGCTTTTATTGGGGTCTGAACTATGTTCATCCTTGTTTCAGAAACCTGGAAGTTCTGATGGCCTTCATGCTGGAGGTACTCTGGAGGATTCCCAGAAGCAGGTATAAAGTGTGCTTTTTCCCAAGAACAGCAGAAGTTCCTGACAGTCCATTTTCTTCTTTTGCACGAGGGAACAGAATGAAAAAGGTGTTATACTGTATTTCTGGAGACTGATGTTTTGCAGTAGCTCCATATAAATAATATAAAAATATCTTGAAGGTCTTACTCGATCAGAAATCCTTCTGCAGAATTTGGTGTGGCATGTAAACATGCATGGAAACATTCTAGACCAGGTTGGATGGGGGTCTGTGCAACCTGATCTAGTTAGCGGTGTCCCTGCTCACTGCAGGGGGGTTGGACTAGATGTAGGGGTCCCTTCCAACCCCAAACATTCTGTGATTCTGTAATTCTACATGTGTTTAACTCAGCTGTTTTCTGCCTCTTGTTGCAGGAATCCTTAACCTGTTCCAATCAAAC